AAAAAAAGCTTTGTTTTCTTCTCTTGCCTGCTTCTGGGACCGTTGCTGAGTAGCTTTCTTGTCTAAAATAGTCTTCTGTCGAACCTCTTAGAAGAGAAAAATCATCCAGTATGCATGTCTTGCTGCTATTCTCCATGGAAATCTTTATAATCTTCAAACCCTGTCCCAACTGAACCTAACATGATCCCACAAAGAAATATTTAAGCTAACATAACCTGTCATGGATGCAAACTGCAGAGAATAGATTGAGGTTTTAAACTTCTCTGTCGACCTTACACACTCATTCAATCAGAACAATATTCAGCGTATAAAACTGACTTCCATAACAAGGTCTCAAACCCTGAACAAGTAGAAACATTTAGATACAAACGGGATCAATTTCTGTATAACTCATGGTACTATAGAGTTAGCTACTGAATTAAAAGAAAAGTAAAGAGAGAAGAATGGTCACAATTCACAAACATTGATCCTTGTAAAGTTTTGTGAGGCTGGTTTCGCTAAACCATTGTTCCACATACTCAAAAGGGTTGGTTCATGTGGTAGCGACGTTAATGATAGACAAAGTGAGACGGTTACTTAGCAAATACGTAAGAATGTTAAGGATAGAAAGCAAGGAAGTTAACAAAAAAAGTTGAGTAGTGAAGGAAACAAGACAGAATGTAAGAAAATAAGTAATGAAATATGAAACTAATTAGGAAATCAACAAGAAGATACAGCAGCAAGTACGTAATATGCTTATTACATTAAGGGAGCATGAAACTAATAAGGAAATCAACAAGAAGATACAGCAGCAAGTAAGTAAGCTTATTAAATTAAGGAAGCATGAAACTAATAAGGAAATCAACAAGAAGATACACAAGCAAGTAAGTACAAGCAAGTAAGTAAGCTTATTGAATTAAGGAAGCAAACAAGCACACAAGGAAGCAGGTAATTAAATTAAGCACTGAAGCATGAAACTAACAAGGAAATCAACAAGAAGATACAGTAGCAAGTAAGTAAGCTTATTAAATTAAGGAAGCAAACAAGCACACAAGGAAGAGTAAAGCAAACCAAGGAAGCTGATAATTAAGCTAAGCATGATACTAATAAGGAAATCAACAAGAACATACAGCACCAAGTACGTAAGGAAGCAAACAAGCAAACCAAGAAAGCTGGTAATTAAGCAATGAAGCATCAAACTAATAAGAAAATCAACGAGAAGATACAGAAGCAAACAAGCACACAAAGAAGTGTAATTGTGTAAAGCAAGCCGAGAATTAAGCAAGGAACGAATGAAATAAAAGAAGGGAAGCAATCAAACAAGCAAGGGATGAAGGAGAAAATAAGTAAGCAAAGAATCAGACAAGGAACTAGAGAGAAACAGAGAAGTAAGCTACTAAACAATCATGAAAAAGGTATTCCTTTTTAAACTGATTCGAGGCTCGATAGAGAAGGAAGAATGAGATTGAAGATTCCAAAAATTGGATTCTTAACCTAAGACAATCCAAAAGTAAGATAGAGAGTCGCAAACTGCTTCCTTCCCATCTCTGAGATGAGGAAGCACTAATAATATATGTAGGTCAAACTAATTTCCGAACCCCTAATGATCACAAACGAGAAAGAAGGAAATTGTACCCTTTTTAGCAGTGATTGGGCACGAAATTGAGGCGGAGAATCAATTTCGGTCGCTGAATCTGATTAGAGTAAAACCTAAAATCAAATTCCCAAGAAAAAACAATCACGATCGGAAACAACAGCGACGAAGAAGAAAGCGAAATACACAGAGAAATTTCAAATTCGATCGAAACCCAAAAGGAAATGAGCGTATCCTTTAACAATTTCACAGAAACATCAAAAATCGAACAAGAAATTAAAAGCGTACTGCGATTTACGGAAGTAGAGAAGAGACTGGGCAGGGTTTTGAGGCGGAGAATTCTGGAGAATCCGTTTTGATCGCTGAATCTGATCAGAGTAAAACCTAAAATCAAATTCCCTAAGAAAAACACCCAAATCGAGAAGAAACGATCACGATCAAAAAAGGCGGATACAATAAAAAAAGGCGGATACAACAGCGACGAAGAAGAAAGCGAAATGCACAGAGAGGTTTCAAATTCGATCGAAACCCAAAAGGATCTGAGCGTATCCTTTAACAATTTCACAGAAACATCAAAAATCAAGCAAGGATTAAAAAGCGTGATGGCGCATAAAAATACACAGCACAAAGCAGAGAAAGAAAAAATTAGTAAAATGGATGGAATCAAATCATCAATAAGGATATAAACAAGTTCTCTCAACAGCTAAAAAAATATCAAATTTGGGTTCCGTTTTCTGTTTCCGACCGTTTGAATCGAAAATCAATTTGAATGAAAAAATTCCCAATTCAAAAAATCAAAATTCAAAGAAGAAAAATGCCCCGCTCACACACATCGGACCGTTTTTAGAAAACCAACACCTTTTGGGCCTTATCTTTGATTTCAGCCCGAAATACAATATCTAATTCCAGCCCAAAAACTCACCATCACATTTTTTATTTCCTTTTTTTTTCCTGTATTATTATCTTATTATATAAAGCTGGATGCGCACGACATGATTGCGACACATAGGATTTTTATAAAATTCAGGATCGCGACATGTGTCACTTTTAATGTTAAGTCCGTTAAGATCATGACACATGTTTTGAAAAAAAAATATTTTATTTTAGTTAAATATTAGAAAAACGAAAATTAAGAAAAGAAGAGGAAATTTTAATCTATTATATTTGTGAAATCCTAACAGAAAAAGGATTCTCATTCATCAAAATTATATTATCTTAACACATATTAAATTCAAAATAATGTAATAATAAATTTCTATTAGTACATGAAATAAATTATGTAAACTAAATTTCCTATAACTGCATGGAATATGTTAAGTGAACCCCTATAAAAAGAAATTTAAGGTAGTCTATTTTTTCTCATCCACAAACTCATCAAATCTTTTAATTATCTTTCTCTAATTAAAAAATCATGTCTTTGAAAGTTCAAAAAAGGTGGAGAATATTTGATTGTAAGTCAATTGGATCGAAATAGATACTATCGCCGTACTATACATGTTATTCGAAAGTGGAAAGCTAGAAATCCTAAAGAAAAAAAATTATTTGTGAGAGTTAAGTTTTTATTACTTGATGGAAATGTTATTAACATATTATATTGATATTTATTATATAAATATGTATATAATCATAGATTAACATTAAATTTTTACATTTGTTTGAATCAGGAAAACACAATTCAAGGACAAATAGAAAAAAAATAGCAATTTAGAAAAAATGTTACATCCATTAGGAAAATGAAAAAGAAAACATATTCCCAATACGAAAAGGAATAAATCAAAAATCAGAAAAAAACATGAAGCAAAAAAAAAAAACAATTGTTACACCCATTAAAAAAATGTGAAAAAACATATTCCCATTAAGAAAAGGAAAAAGAAAAAAATATATATAATAATTTATAGCCTTCATGATTTATATGTGTAATTCTATCTTTTGTTTAAACTTTATCTTTTATTACAAAATAGAAAATCATATATTTTAATGTTCAAGATATCAATAAAGAATATTTAACTTTAGATCAGTTGGGTTGAAATTGAAATTTTTGTTGCACCATTTTTCTATTATATGATCATGTGATAATATGTGTTAATAAAAGAAAATTATAAAAATATAATCACATAAATAGAAAACTAACAAAATAATTGTAAAACAACTAACGAACTATGAATAAGAAAATTTTTATGGTCTGAGGCAAAACAAAATTGAAAAAAAAAACATGATAAATAGAAAATTAACAAAAAAATTATAACATTAAATATATAAATAATTGACCAATATTATAATTTTAAATATATTAATTTTCAATTTTTTGGTAGGTAAAACAGTATTAAGAAAAAGATTTCATCAACTAAAATCTCTTAAATAGAATAATCAAATTTTCATGAATTAATTAGCCTATCAAATTTAGATTAGATACGTATAAGTCTTTCTATATTAGATAAAAGAAAAAGAAAATAAATTAATTCATTTTCATATCATTAATTAAAACAAAATGTTAATTGTAATTAAAATGTAAAAATATTACCAGTTTTATTTTATTTAGAGATTTGTTATCGAATTTGAATATTATTCTACTTACTTTTAAAAGTGACAAGATTTGGTTTAATATTTTCCTATTGTTTATTTCAACAATATTAAAACAAACCCACATATACGCGGTGCCTAATCTAGTTATATATAGGACCATATATAATATAAGATAGTTGATATAAATAAATAGAAATTAGTAAAATTGAATATATGTAAGATGTAATTCAATATGTTTAAAATATTAAATTAAAGACTTTAATTTAAGATAAAAATTCAGATAAGATTCTTAATTTAAAATCTAAAATTCAGATACCAACAGAGGTGGAAAATTTAAGATGAAATTTTTAAATTAAACTATAATCAAAAAAGTAAGTACAAATTAGCAAGCCATCTTTCCCTTTTTCAAATCCAGAAATCTTGTAAATACTGTAGATCGATCCGAGAAAGTTTCTCAAATGTGAATGTGGTTGTGCAGGGATATGTGAACAAGATAGAGTTTGATTATGCTGAGTACTCAAGACAGAGATTCAGACAGTGCAAAATAAATCAAGAAAATAAAGGCAATTTTTTTGTGATTTGGCTTCGAAAACCTCAGCTCTTTATCTTCACAATCCTCTCAAATTTTAGTCTGACTTGTTGTTTTGATTTGTAAAGTTGTAAATTTGTAACCAAATCCGAAACCAATGCTAGCTAATACAGAAATCAAAGCCAACAAATCTCTTATCTCTGAAATCCAAAAGTTGAATGTGTTCAAATTCCAAGAATTGTCCAAATAAAAACTACAACTGATACTTCTAATTATGTACAAGAAAATCAAAACCTGCAAACAAATTCTCAGCCAGTTTGAGCTAAATCAAAGAAACAAGAAGAAGAAAAAAAACAAGAAAACAATCACCATTGGTTATGAAGAAGAAGGCTTTATAAGAGGCTGAGATGTTTTCCCCCATTCCTCAGGACTACACTTGACCTCCGTTAACAAAGCAACAACTTCCTTCATCGTCGGTCTCTCCACAGGCGAAGGATTCACACAGAACATCGCGACCCCCAATGTCTGAAGCATCTCTTGAACAATCTGGTCCGGTAACCCTTGGAGCTTCACGTCGAGCACAGATAACGCCGGCTCGAAGCTTCCCATTTTCTTCTTCACCCATTCCACTATGTGAAGCCCGTCGCCGATTTGCGGCGATACGGCGCTCCGGCCACTCAGAATCTCTAGCAAAACGACGCCGTAGCTGTACACGTCACTCTTCTCCGTTATGTTCATCGTGTACCCGTATTCTGCATAACGTAAATGAAACGGTGTCATTTCATCAGATATTGAGAAATTCCCTCATAAGATCCTAACGTTTAACAAATTCACTTACAATCCCCAATATTTTGTAATTACAATATGATCCAAAAACAAAAAGAGTAAACTTGCCTGGTGCGATGTAGCCATAGGAACCAGCGACTCGAGACATGGCGGTGTGATAATTCGGCGAATTCATCAGCTTCGCAAGTCCGAAATCCGCGAGAATCGCTTCGTATTTGGAATCGAGAAGAATGTTATTGCACTTCACGTCTCTGTGCAGAATCGCTGGAACGCAGTCGTGGTGAAGATAAGCGAGACCCTGAGCGGATCCGATCGCGATCTTGTAACGAGTTTCCCAATCCAAGCTTCTGTTTCCTTGAAGCAATTGCTGTAGATTCCCGTTGGGGAAGTAATTGTAGAGAAGCAGCTTCACGGATTTATTGGAGCAGTAACCTAAAAGCTTCACGATGTTTCTGTGCCTGATGTTACCCAGAATCTGAATCTCCGCCGCGAAAGAATCAAGCGTAGGTTCTCCTCCTCCGTCGTCGTCTTTAGTTTTCCAGAGCTTTTTCACTGCAATGGTCTCTCCGTTGGGCATTTCCGCTTTGTAAACGATTCCGGAACAGCCTTTTCCGATTACGTTCTCGTCGATTAGGCAATTCACAATGTTGTTGACGCTGATGCCCAGTTTCTGAAACGGAATGAATGTCCATGGGTAGGAGAAATCTTCTGCTGTCGATGTAGAAGACGACATCGTTGCTGATTTCTGAGTTGCGTAGCGGTGATTGTTGCGTAAGACGAGAAGCCAGGCGGCGAGAATGGCGATGGTGATTGAAGCGAGGATTACAGCGATTAAAACTACGATCTTCGGGGATCTGACTCCGTTACTTTGTCCATTGTGTGATGAGCAAGTGACTCCGTCAACTGAGTGGCAGAGATTTGTGTTCTGGAGATACGAACTTGCGGAGATCGTTTTGAAGAAGGGTGTAGCTGGGATAGGACCAGAGAAGTTGTTGGAGGAGATGTTGAGAGAAGCTAGGCTCGTGAGTGAACCGAGAACTTTGATGTCACCGTGAAGCAGATTGCGTGAGAGATCGAGTGACTGCAACTGCGTGAGGCCTGTGAAAGTTTCAGGGATGTCTCCGGTGAAGGCGTTGTAGCTCAAATCCAGGTTTATAGTCAAGCTCGTGACTAGGCCGAGTTCTTGTGGGATTTCGCCAGATAAGCTGTTGAAGCTTAGATCAAGCAGTGTAAGCTTCTGCAGATTCTTGATGGATTTAGGGATTTGGCCAGTGAGGAGATTGTTGTTGAGGATCAGCTTGTTCAAGTAACTGAAGTTTCCGAAACTCAGCGGTATGTTTCCGGTGAAGCTGTTTCTGCTCAGATCAAGCTGCTCTAGATTCACAAGGTTCCCTAGCTGAGCAGGGATATCTCCGGTGATGTAGTTATTGTGCACATCTAAGAGCTCAAGCACAGTGATGTTGGAGATCTCGTAAGGAAGCTCACCAGAGAAATGGTTCATGTAGAGATCAAGAAACACCAGGTTTTGTAACTGGCCTATCTCTTTAGGGACCTGACCTGAAAGTTGGTTCTCTCCGAGTCTTAGCCTCACAAGCGACTGGCATTTCGCTACGCTCTTTGGTAATCCACCGGATAAGGAGTTTCCGAGAAGGAGAAGCTTGCTGAGCCTCTTTAAACTGAAGAGCTCTTCGGGGATTCTTCCTGTTAGCTTATTCCTAGAGAGGTCTAGAGCGATTAGGTCCGTGCAGTTGCCAAAGGAAGACGGAATTGTTCCTGAAACTGCGTTCTCCCACAAGAAAAAGCTCTGCAGAGACTTCAGCTTTCCGATTTGGGAAGGTATGGAGCCTGATAACTTGTTCTTGTCCAGCTGAAGAGCAATGAGGCTGGAACAGTTACTTAATTCCCACGGAATCTGACCGGTGAACATGTTATCAGACAACTGAAGCTGCTCCAACCAAACAAGCTTCCCCAAATCTCCAGGAATCTCACCGGATAGATCGTTGGCCGAAACATCAAATACCACAAGGGAAGAACAGTTGGAAATCTCAGGTGGGATGACTCCAGATAAAGAATTCCCCCATAGAAGCAAGCTAGTGATCTTCTGGAGCTTACCCAGTTCCTTTGGGATGGATCCAGTTAGCTTGTTCATGTGCAAATACAAGTTCCTGAGCTCTGAGCACAGACCCAGTTGAGGTGGAATGGTACCGGAGACATCAGTATCATACAGAGCCAAAGTTTGCAAATTTACCAAGTTCCCAAATGTGGAAGGGATTTGACCTGACAAACCACTGGCTGCAAGCCCTAAAGTTGTCAAATTCGTCAGAAACCCTAGCTGAGCAGGGATAGGGCCTCCGAGATTAGGGTTACCACCAAGCCTGAACTGCTGAAGAGAGACCAAAGAGCCTAAACTTGAAGGAATCGAACCATTCAGCAGATTGTCCTGAAGACAAAGAACTTGCAAGGAAGAAAGATTCGAAATCTGTGAAGGGATTGAGCCAGAGAGCTTGTTGGCATTCAAGATAAGGAACTGGAGAGAAGAGAGGCGGCCTAGCTCTGACGGAATTGGACCAGAAAGAGCGTTTGATGAAAGGTCGAGAAGCCTGAGGTGGGTGAGTTTTCCAAATGAAGGAGGGATTGGGCCAGAGAGGTTTGTGGAGGAGAGGTTTAGGAACTGAAGAGAGGAGAGAGAAGATAGGTCTGGGATTGAAGAGAGGTTAAGGAAAGTGTCGGGGATAGAGACAGAAATCACTCTGTTGTCTGCAGAACATGTAATGCCATACCATGAACATGGTGTCTGGTGTTGTGGGTCCCATGAGGAGAAGAGTGATGAAGAAGGGGATGATGGTGATTCTCTCTTGAGAGAGAGAAGAGCTTGGCCGTCTGATGAAAGAGAAAGAGTGGGTTGGGCCATGGAGACCCATGAACAGCAAAAGAACAAGAAAAACAAGAAAAAAATCAACTGTTTGCTGCTATAATCGAAAGATTGCCTCTTTATGATGGAAAAATGGTTGAAATGGAATAAATTGGTGAAATGGTTTGGTTCTTTCTCCATCGAATCTCTGGTTATTGAAATGAGTGGAGATTCAATTGGTGGTGGTGGTGGTAATGGAGGACGAGGAAGAAAAGCAAAGTTGTCTCTTATCTTTTTGGTTGAACCTTGAGGAGACAAGAAGCATGTGTAAGGGCTTTGCTTTCTGATTGCTTAGGGTTTACACTAAACAACTGCCGAACAAGAACAATAACTGTAGATAATAGCCATGTGGAGCTAAGAGTGGAGTCTTCACACTCTCTCCCATGGAGAAACTCTCTGGCCGGGGGAAAAAGATGGAGACTTTACCCGGAGAGGGTGGTGGTAAATAATGGTGGCTGCGGCGGAGCTAAGAGGTTGATGAAGACGACGTTGGACTTTGAGTCTCACTTTTTTTTTTTCTCTCTCTGTCTCTATTTCTTCTCGTTTGTTGCTTGTTGTTGCCTTGGGAAGACTAATAACAAGCTTTAATAATGAGTTTTTAAATTATTATAGTGCAGTGATTTGGGCGCCACCGGATTTTCTTCCGTTTTATCATGGATGTGTGTGCAATGTGTATATACAATTATACACAATACTTTCAAAAAAATATTCAAACTATTAACATCGGTCTACATTTTTACAATTAACAACTCTGTATATATTTCAAAACCCAAGGTATTGATAATTAAGTATTGCTTCCAAAAATCAAGGTTCATAATTATGCTTTGCTTTTTGTAAAATTATTCACGGACCAGAAATATCTAGTAGAAATTATAAGTGTATCAATTTTTCTTCTTTTTTTGCCTGAGAAGAACAACATTACTTTCTGAAAAAAAATACCAATATGATTGTATTTACTTTATCATAAGGATGGGTCTTAAAAATATAAAAAATATTACTGGTTTAGTATTAATGAATGTCCATATCACCCACATGTATTCGATTTCTTACGTCTATTTTATAAGATTTGTCAATGAAAAAGCGGGTGCATGTGTATAATTCATAAGTGAAGAGAAAAAATTAACAGAGTTTTGAAGAAAGGATATCAGAACGTATAAGCAACTGAGTTATTATATATTTATATTGTATAATGAATGTTACATCCACACATATTTTAGTGGTTAAGGGTGTAGCTAAAAGAGTAACAATACATGTTATTGCCCTTGTCTTCTTCTACCATATTCTTCTCCCTTTTGTCGACCACTCCCAACCGTTGGATCTTCAAGTACGTACACGTAAATGAAGTGTAATATCTATTACTACTTTAGCCCGACGCGACGAAATGATGATCACAAGTCATTTAAATTTTCTTGGTAGTGAATAAAGTAATTAGGATTATAAATAGGGAACACACAAGTGATGAGAGGAAGCATGTGGGAGACGGTGAAGTTAAAAACTTAAAAGTGAGTTTGGAGGGAAGCCCCTATTGTTTCGTGTCGTGTTTCTTTGATTATGGAATGGGTTTTTTTCTTTTCTTAAGAGCATCTCCAATGGCAATAAAGATGAAATATGGGGCTGGGTTGAAGATGCTCTAAGTGTCGTTAGATAGGTTAATTGATTGAAGAAATTGTCGTAGACCTAAAAGAAATATTATAGTTAGATAAAATGATACGTAAAAAATCAAAATTACAATACCAAGGCAGAGGAAGTGGGTGCGTTTTGGGAGATGAGCGCAGCATCAAAAGATTGTTTATAAAAAATACACTCACATGAAGGAGAGAGGACTATATTTTAGATTTTGACCTCTTTTTACTCCCCATTTAAAGTTTGGTGCATAACATACCATAACTTGATACTAAGAGATACCTTTACTTTAAAGATTTTGTTTTCAGTAAATAGTACAATAATTTTTCGGCGCCGGTAGATTCATCAATCTACTAGATGACTATCCAAAAGAAAATGTTATCAGAGTCACGAATTCAAGCATCAATGATGAAAAAGATTGAAACATTAATTTTAAACATATTTTAGTCCTTGTTTGAAAAAGATTGAAATTACTGAATTGTCACTGGTCAAAAAATACAGTATTGAAAATTATTAATCACAAAAAAGTGATGCATTTATAGTTAAGTTTTAGGGAGGAATTGGCAATTTACCCCAAATAAAAGGGGTTCTTTTTCTTTTTGGTAATGCAACGGGAAACAAATGTCTCCTGTTAATTTATTGAATAGAAAAGTTACTACAAACGAATGTCTCGAGGACGTGATAAACCGATCTTGTCTTCCCACAAAACTGTTGCCAGCGATGATGGGACAAGATCAAACAAATGAAAACCTAAAGGAAGAGAGAAAGCGAGGTTCGCTAGCCCATCAGTTAAGCAATTCGCCTCTCGAAACACATGAGAAACACGGACCGACCAGTCCTTTGACAAATAGTCATGGCACAATCGCACCAGGAAAGATAAGGGATGAGCAGAGTTGACCCCTTTCTTCAGAAACCCAACCACTAATTCCGAATCCACTTCAATCTCCAACTGTGACACTCGCTTCTCTCATGCTATTACCAACCCGTAATACACTCCCACAGTTCTGCTAAGGGCTCTTGTCCCTTTATTCCTTTTTTGACTTTTGTCATTTTTGGCCAAGATTGCCCTTCAATTCTTTTAAAAATTCATAGTAAATATTTTTTAAAGTGAAACAAAATTCCATAATTCCTAAAAATGATCTCATGATTGTGTAAAATATTTAAACATTTTTGAAAATGTTTATGATATTAGGAAAAATGAAGTTTCGTTCTACAAATCTATAATATCAAAGTAGAATACGTTTTTTACAAGATATTCGGAGGTCTAACCGCCGTAGAACATAATATCTACAACTTATTTATTTGTCTTCGTGAAAACTCTGAAAAATTATTCTTTCAGAAACATACAGAGTACGAAGTAAGTTGTAGGCAGCGATTAGATTAGAGACTTCATTTCAGATAATGATGCATCACTCTTCTTGCCTTCTTCGTACTATATGCTCTAATCTTGTCCCTGAAGTGCGTGCTGTTTTGGATTTTGGGAAGGAAAATACAGGACGTTTGAGCATATGTGGAAGCTGAAGAAGCCATGGCTTACTGTTTGAAGATGGTTTGTTGGTTCTTCTCTTTTTTCCTTCATGTTTTTTGTCGTAGAAGCTTGTCCCACGGCCTCAGGATATGTGTGGTCTGGATTTTTTATATCTTTATTGTCCTATCTAATATATGTCATATATACTTACAATTTTTTTTTTTAATATCTAAATTGCTCTTCCTATCTAAGGGCATGCACAACGCTAGGTCTTATGCTTAATTAAGCAGTGTGAAGGATCAATGCTGATAACGTGTCAAGCCATTCACTCTTCTATCTCCCTTTCTCTTTTTTTTTTTTTTTTTTTAATTACCCCAAATAAAATAACTCAACTTTAATAATAAGACATGTTAAGCATCTCTATTAAGTATTTTGCATTGCACATGCCCTCACAATCTAGAAATGGATTTTAAATTTCTCTGTTTGATAGTTTAACTATTTTTCAAATCACTTTGTAATTAGCATTTTGGAACTTAAAGGTTCAAATAGTAGTTCTAACTTCTAAGTTTTAGGTCACAGTAAATCATAATCCATGATTTCATTTTGAACCTTAGTACCAAATTTCTAAAATATGCTATATATACTCTGTAGCGGATTTGTAGAGAATAATTCTATGAAGATAAAAATCTATGATACATAAGCGAATTTGAATATTTATGAATATTTAAAAGCGAATTTGTGTGTTTATTGGATTCAAACACATTTTTCTTTTCTTTTTTTCTTTCGTAACTTGAGATATGTTAGATCCAACAACACTTTTTTATTAAAATTTTAAGCTTTCAATTAATTTGTAGTGGCTTTTGAGTGAAACTTCTACGAAATTTCAAATCTTAATTTCATCATTTCCTCTCCAAAGTAAAGATCTGACTCTCTATCCTCTATTTTCTCGTACAACAAAATTTGAGACATTTCTGAGAAGATTTTGCAGAACTAATCAAAGTCAAAATCAATTTTGCAGAACTAATCAAAGACTTTTTGATTCTCACTACTACCAGTAAGAAATATTTCAAGATTCTCATTCATTGTATTTTTTTTTCCCTTATTTTTAATTCATTCATTGTATTTTTTTTTCCCTTATTTTTAAAAATGGATTATGATTTGTAATTGTGTCTTTATCAGATTCTTAAGTGTTTCAACGGATGCTATCTAGAAGAGATAAAATAGATTATTGCTGTATTATCCAGTAGAGGCTGAATCTTCAAAGCGAAGATCTTTGAGTGCTGTTTGATTTGACAGGTTTTGATAGTAAATTTATGTATTGTCTTTCTGCAACATACAAGTATATCATAATTGTTCTCTTTACCATATCACAATCAAATTCAAAAACGTTGAAAGATCACAACTTTATCAAGATCACAACCAGTGGGAGAGATAAACCCGAAAATGGGAAGAAACCAATACAAACCCTCCATATCCGTACACACACAAAAGAATCAGAAAATGCTACAAAAACAAACAACGAAACACACTTCTTCATCACAATGAAACCTTTTACCTCTTCTCCATGTTCTTCAGCAAGATTTCAAATAATTGCTGACGAACGATGACGAACGATTCTTCCCTGTGAAAACTTGTTTCCAGCTCAATGAAACAACCTGAAAACAATACAAATATGCAATTACGTTTAGCAAACTCACTATTCCACATGATACGGTTTTTAAATTTTTGGAGTATTAGTAATGAGTCATCTAAACCGTTGGATTAACTTAAGATTAACTCACTATTTCGGAATAGATATTTCCAAGAGAGACGTTAGATTCAAAATGAGTCATCTAAACCGTTGGATTAAAAAGGAGTTATCGTAACCGTTAGATTAAGTTTCACTTTTCTTTTCTTCTTCCCTAACTTA